TTGACTCACTACGAAATGAGAATAAGCCTTAAAACCATCTGGAAAAGTTTGAAAAATACGTTACCTGTCCTCAGAGATACAGAGAACAGGGTAATAATTCATTATCCTCGCAAACTTATTTCCCTCTGTCTTTATGTAATATTACCTTTCACTGAGATTTCCTTTCCATTCTCTGTATTTTTAATAGGAAGGCATTGTCTAAAGTGGAAATATAAGATTGTGTATTTGTTGGAAAATTTTCTTCATGAACTGGCAGCAGGGTTTGTAAATGAAGTATGATCTTCATGAACTTAGTGAACTGTTTCAAGGGTTCCCAACTGTTTCAAGGCACCCTGTGATGATTTTCCCACAGAAAATAAGCATTTTACTGAGAAAGAGAATCCCTTGGAGATATGATTGCTGCTTACACTCATCCCTTTATCCCTTTTAAAAAGTTAGGGATGGATGAAGCATATTTTGGATTCTCCTATTGCTATGAATTGATTATTAGTAACTTAATTCTCAGCTACATAGTAACAGTACTAAGTTCCCTCTTATTCATTAATCTTTGGGCATCCTTGGTTCAGGAGTAGAAAGTGTTATGATTTGAACATGACCAGTTCACCAAACATCCTGGGGCTCTCATGTGTTCTTGAGTCGGTCAGTTTTAGGAGGGTGGTAGACTTTAGGAAGTGGGGCGTAATGGGTCTCTGCTGCTGATTGGGCCTTAGAGGTGACAGTTCTCCCCTTGATCAACCCTGAGTACTCTATGCTTCATGATGCACTGAGAGACGAACAGGCTTCCATCACGCCCCTTCCTGGGATTTCCTGATAGTGAGCCATAAAATAAACCTGAAAGCTTCTCTCTCTCTCTGTCTCTGTCTCTGTCTCTGTCTCTGTCTCTCTCCCTCTCTCTCTGTCTCTGTCTCTCTCTCTCTCTCTCTCTCTCTCTCTCTGTGTGTTTGTGCATGCATGTGCACACACAAGCTGATATTGAGTGTTTTTCTCTGTCACTGTAAACCTTATTTTGGATACGGGGCATCGGCTGGATCACCTGTCCAGCAAATCCCAGAGGCCTCCGTCAGTGGGGTTTCAGAGTGTGCCACTACACTCAAGTTTTTTATTTTACACGTATGGGCATTTTACTTGCATGCACTTTGGTGCTTAAGTGTTGTCTTGCCCTCAGAGGTCATAAGAGGACATCAGATTCCCTGTTAAGGGAAGTTACAAATGGGCCTGAGCCCCCGGGTGGATCGTGGGAGCAGTACCCACTTCCTCTCAGAATAGCAAGTTTTCCTGACCTCTGAGGCATCTTTCCAGCCCCACGCAGGGAGTTTACATGGGTGCTGGTTACCAGACAGATGATCTTATGCTTGCATGGTAAGTGCCTTACGAAGAGACCTATGTCCACAGTCCCAGAACACCTTCAAAAAAGACACGCGAAGGACAAATAGAAAGCAAGGAAGCTCCCCTTAATATTTATTTACATAATGATTTCGACTTTTTAAGATGACGGAATGAGATAAATACCAGGAATTTTGTGCTGTTGGAATATGTAAACTACCAAACAATAGTAGATCTTTGCTCCTCCTTGGTCCTCAAGCAGCTGTCTAGGACACAGTGTGGAGAGTTGTCTGAGTACTCAGCGGCCGTGCACACTCTTCCTTCCTGGTAGCGTGATCTGCTTTCGCTGTTATTTTTCAGTGAGGTTCCATTATGAAAATGCAGGCAAAAAGGGAAGACTTTCCATAGGTATTATGTACACGCAAATAACTCTGCTGCTATTCTGTTCTCTCTCTCTCATAAAAGTGTTTCCTACACTGTGTGCAGATTGCTGCTAAGTGGAGGTTGAGAGTATTCTGAAGTCATTATTATGTAAGTGTTGATGTATACATGGAGCTCTTAACAGGGTGATCTTTGATAGGGCAAGATTGCCATGACTTCCCTGAAGCTATAATCTTGAACTGTCTCTGAAAATCCTGTAGTTTTTTTTTTGTTGTTGTTGTTTTTTCTCAAACACAAAGTCAAGAAACATTCAGATATCACCCCTTTGTAAGTTCATAGAATAGAAGTATTTCATTTTTAAAAAGTGAAAAAAAGTGCTTTTGGGCTAAGAATACATGCCAAGCTTACTGCAGGCTCACATATTTTACGACTGATTTATAAACCTCTCAGAAAGGATGGAAATGGTGACACATTAATAACTCCAGCAGAATGAGTTCTGCATACTTCAGGAAAAAATAGAGAACAGAAACAGGAGGCAAAGTAGGCAGTGAAGGAGGAGAATATTCAATGATCTACCTGGAGATTCACAGATTCTGTCCTCCATGAGAAACAAGGGCTGGAGAGGGATACTCACGAGCTGCCCCCATGATGAGATGTAAAGGTAGATTATTGAAAATACTCTTAAAAATCAACTACTAGGTTTAAATATTTTGCGTTGGATTCAATTTACATGTTATAGACAAATGTCGTATATTGTATTTTGAGACTAATTTTGTTAAGACATACTATACATATGTTTCTAATATTGCTCAAGGTACAGTACTTTACAGTTCATTTTGCAATGTTATATGACTCTAGTACTTGAAAGTTATTGTTATCAACTATTGGAATGATGGAATAATAAGGAAATGTACTTTAGTAATTATTCAACTATTACATTCATACTTGTAGTCACATTAAGTATGTTCACAAGGTCAAACAGATATTTTAAGAAGACAGGACATTTTCAAACACTTCAGAGATCAACAGTAGTGATATCTTGCTTGTACAAATATAGCCTCTCTGAAGATCAGAAAATGGAGCTGTACATACAGACAGGAAGTGAGGTAGCTGGGTGGAAACAGAATATAAGTAGCGAGAAACGGGAAATCGCTCTCTTGTCTGCTGAGATGCTCAGGAGGTAAGGGGTGCCGTGGCTTGCTGCTTCTCTCTGATCTCTCAGTGCTTCCCTCTATATCTGAGTCTGGTTTTCTATTACTTAGACCAATTAAGAACTCCATTTACATGCCCGAATTCCAAAAAGAGTTAGACTTGAGTCATCACAGAAAACTGCAGCTAAATCTGGGAATCTGTCTGCCTTTGTGGTGAACAGTCTTACAGGCTGCAGATAGCTCATTCCTCCAGTTCACCACACATGTGCACAAACAAGGGTCTTGAAAGACTCAGTTTTGTTGCAATAGCAGAGGCATCCTGTACTGACCATACTTGTTGCCTTTCATAGATAGTCATGGGCAGAAATGCCCAGAAAGGGTGCTATGGTCCACTGTGCTTCAGCAGGGCAGAGGGAATCACACTACCACCTACATATACATTCACTTGACAAATTTTTTAAAACATCTTTAGAATCCTAATGAGAGACATATGACCCACAAATCTTCTCAACTTTGACACAGATAACCTTCCTCCGTCTTTGGGTTACTTTCTCTGGTTTGAGAAATAAACTGCCCCAACTGTTGATATGCACTAGACTCCTTCCTGGCTGAACAGAATGCTGTTGGCGGTGGGTTCTCTATAACTAAAGTTAGTAAAAATTGGGATAGTCCTCTTGGAGAGCAGTCAGCACACCTCCCAAGGAGAGCTATTCTGCAGTATTGTTGTCAGAGAGTTGGAAATCAGAGTCTGGCTCCGGCAATGGGTAGAATGAGTATTATTTGATATTTTAATTAAACATTTCCAACTGCAGCTTCCTTCCCCATTTTGTGAGGGGGATAACAGGGCTACTTAGCCCCCTGAGTTAGAGTCAGGATTACGTGAGATAATGAATGTAAAACATTTAATCCAGTGTCTCTTAAGTAGTGAATGCTCCATAAATCTTAATTACATTATGATCATTATATACCTTGTCATGCAGAGAAAGACACCAGGGAAAATTGGTGTGTCTGTGTGTTGTGAGATGGCTGGATCAGTCTCTGTGGCCGAGAGAAGGCCGGGCTAATATTACTGCAGACCCTTCCTCCTTGGTCTCTGGGAAATATAGATGATCTCAGAGCTGAGGAACCAGCAAGAAGCTTTGCGTGGCTGTGATGTGGCTGGGTGGTGTAGAGGGCATTTCATGGACAGTGCCCCGAATTTAATCTCTAATACTATTTCTCAGCCACAAAATAAAAATGGCATTGTAAATTAAGGCCATTGGCAAACCAGGTTTACAAAGTTTGGGAGAATGCTGAAATTATACTTTTAGTTAGTAGTCCCAGGTTTTCTGTAAATTGTCAGCTATGGAAGAGACCAACAACGCAAACCCAACCATGTTTTTTTTTTTTTGCAATACCAGCAATGAAATCTGACAAAAGACACTCCCTTCTCCATTGGGAATATGCACCCAAAACAACATCCGTTATTTATTTTCAGGGACAATGTGTACCTTGTTTCCAAAAAACGTTACTCTCTTGTGTTTTATTTCACCAGGCGGGTAGATAGTTCATCTTCTCTCCATTTGGGCTCAGTTCCTGCCAATGTCACAAATGGTGTTACCAGCAGGAAGCTCACAAATGCTGTTTGTAATTAAAAAGCAACTCCATGCTCGGAAACACGTGCGATATTGTATGTAGAAAGAAATGTTCTTCGCCATGGGAGTGCAGAGATGAATGCCCAAGATTTTAAAAATTAAATTAAAAATATGTGCATTGTTCTTGCAAAGGACGGTTAGTAGCCTGCAGTGAGTCTGCACGACGGAAAGTTGTGTATGTGTGGCTTTGAATCCCCAATCTGTAATTTACTGAGCACTCACGCTCCTTTCATGTATAAATACTCGGCTCGACAAATCTGATTTCCGTTACCACCAATCCCTGTGATTCATTTTCTACAACTATATGGTGTGGCTCCCCTGTGGGAAGCCCGATATCACCCTCCTGCTGCTCCGTCCACCTGTTTAGAATTTACATCCAAAATTCATCTAAAACATACCATTTTCCCCCTGGAGAATATTGAGTTAATATATTAACAAATTCCAGATGAAGGAGACATGTTCTGAGGGTTTTGCAATTTTGTATTTCACAAATTCCCCTTTGATGGAACTGGCAACCCACATTTTTCAGAGTAAAATCAGAACAGAGACACCTCCCAAAAATAAAGTCCAAGCAAAACAATACACAAAAGAGAATTCCTTCTATGCATGTTTTGTGAATATTTTTCTTCCCTCTAACCATGGCATTCAACATGCCAGAACCAGACACAAATGATTTTATGCATTTTAAGTTAGATTTTTCCTAATAAAAACAGACAGAATTTATTTTTCATGGGGATTATGTGATTTTTCTGAAGTGCTGGGCTACCTGGTTCCTGCGGCAATGCTCCATCAATCACAGCTCAGAGCCCAGCTCCCTTCTTCTTCCTTCCTAGTAAATTGCATTAGCATAGATTACTTTGCAGTGAACATTGTGTGGACTTATTTAATCAATGTCAGCAGGGTTTTCATGCTTGTGAGCATATTCATAGATCCCCCTTTTGCTGTTTCCTTCAGATATCTTGACCTGAGGAGTATGAATGCAGGTAAGGCCATAAAGTGTGTCTTTCATTTAATGTGCTCTGCCAGACGACTCCAGCTTCTTGAGTGAATCCCGAGGAACAGATGTCTGCCTTTCAAAGTTAAAGGAAAAAACCTGCATCTGTTTCCTAAATGTCAAAACAATAACAGGCAAGTTATAGCACATATGTGGGAAGGTTTCTGGTGGTTTTGTAAAGGCTTCGGAGCTGGGCCCCAGTTGTAGCTGGCCGAGGAATAAACCGCAGAAGGAAGATATTGTACCTATGAAGGCATCCATCTTAAGGAGGAGGCCATTTGGGAGGAAGGTAGGCAGGCGAATACATAGGCAGCCATTACGTTATTTTAAGAGGAAGGAATTTAGTTGTTGGCTTGTCTAATGGAGGTTTGGGGACAAGCGTGTCTATCTCTCTAAATATCCCACCAGGTTTCTTTCCATGACTCTATTTAAATCCTACCTGGATCCATTTAGTTACAGTTCCTTATCTCTCCATCAGGGCCTATTCTGGTTTCTGTTACCTGCAGATCTGTTTGCTTTCTTCCAAATGCCTGCATTTACAGAATGTGGCCAGGAACTGATAGGATCCAGAAGAAACAAGGGTGATTATTTCTTACCATTTAGTCAGTATGTAAGCTAGCAGGAAGAAAATTCCACTTTTCCTCCTCTTCAAAAAACAGTGTTTTTCATCGTTACATAAGAGAGAATAGATACAAAGAGGCTTAGCCTATTGTGTCAGTATTTTCTATACAGCATGGTAAACATTTGAATGTAATTAAATGATAGAATTAACTTGTTAATCCTTATATGTTCCCTTGTCCATTCAAGAAATGTAACTCTAATTAAATTTCACATTGGTCACTCTAATGAAAAGAATGTCATCTAGAACTGTAGCCATCGTCAGCATGTGTGGGCAGAAGCGATAAGGCTGGGTAATTGTAGGATTAAGGATTGGTTTCTACTGAGGTTGAAAGCTATGCACACTATAGAAAGTCACTGAATTATTTGAAATCACATCTATAGGCTCTTTGTTTTATACTATCTGCTTTGTGTTGCCTCATTGACTATTCCCTCTTTCTCTTTTGTTGGTGTCCCTCTGATTTTTGCAAGGACAATAGCAGTTAGACTACAGACACCCATTTGTTTCCAGGTCATTTCCTTGTCAGTTTTGCATAATCCCCATAAGTGAGAAGTAAAACTTAAATTCCAACATTAGTTTGTGACTAGAATCTCTACTGTCCATACTGCCAATTTGGCTTCCGGATGTACAGTATGGAATTTGGTGCAGCCTCCAGTGCTTACATCCTGCAAGAAAGCAAAATAATCTCAGTGTAATAGGTAGAGGTTTTAGTCCATTGCTATATATTATAGTGCAATGTATCTTTTCCTTGGTGGACCTTGGATGGGGACTGGTGATGAAGGGTGCTATGGGGAGCTTGAGGTTTTGTGTGGCAATCAATCAATATTGCATTGTCCACTCTCTTCACTTTTGTCATGTAAAGACCCACCACTCCCAACAAATTGAACTAGGCAAATGGAAACCTATGGCCTAGAACCACTGACATATCTTCAGAGAAGCCTTTTGAGGGTGGTGTTAGACGACTCTGATCGCCACGCCGAAGCCAGTACCCAGGAGAATACTCACTTGCACCGGCATTATTCCATGACCTGAGCACGATATTCTTCTAATACAGGAACCAATTAAAAATAAACACAAGGCTGGGCTTATGCGCTGCCTAGTGCTGGGTCATTCATTGAGTTCCTCCTTTGCAGTATGAAGCCGCAGAAGCAGAACACTTCCGTGGCATGACTCTCGTTGCATGGCACATTGCCATTTCTGCTTCCAGGTAGCAGGGAATTCTGTATTCTTCTGAACACCACCTACAGCCTTTGCTCTAGTCTTTATATAGTTATCTAAATAATAACACTAAATAACAGCAACAACAAGAATAGCAATAACAACCAAACCAAAAAAAAAAAAACCACAGAACAGTGGTTTGTTTAGACGTGAATACTTCGAAGAGCCATATTTTGATTTTCAGTTTTTAAAGAAAAGGACCTTAAAGTGCTCATAGTTGTAGAAGAAACTATGTTTATTGGAATATGGGATGATGGGATTAGACTATGGGTTATAGAATCACTGATTTACCAGCTGTAGCCAACGAGATCATTCTTTCATCAGGTTGTAGGCACTGCCCAATTCCCTTCCCATTTCAACAGAAGTCAGAAAGCTTTAGGACATACTGGCCTCTGCAGGTTTTGCTTTTGTTAATATTTGTGGAGTCTTAAAATACCGAATGACTGCCTGGAGGACTTAAAGTATATTATTATTCTTATTTTGGGCAGCTTAATCATTTAATATTCCTTTGCTCCTCCATATATTAATATTTATTAGCATTATCTAGTTAGAGCTTTATTTCATACTTTAAGGATGTATTTCCTAGCATCATTTACATAGTTAGTGCTCCTGATTTCCTATGCACTTAGCAAAAGCGAAGATTAATCTCTGTAAGTAAAAGGCACCCTAACTACAGTAAGAAAAGGCACTGCAATTCAAGGGTAACTCAAGTACAGCAAGCTCTTTGGAACCAAAGATGAGTAAAGTACATTATTTTGTTTTTTTGCATTTCATTTTGACTTTGGGTTTACTTTAAAAGTTCTATCTGAACTCTAATTTAAGAATAACCCAGAAGTCGTTTTTTGTTGTTGTTACTGTTGTATTTTATAATCTATTCTCATCCTTTTCCCAATGAAGAGAAGTGGTCTTCTGAGATTACTTGTTACAGATTTCCATAAACAACGTAGTTTCTCTCACGATGTGCATCTATTAAGTGTGAAATGCCTTCAGTCTGTCAGCTCTTCTACAGACCTTCCCCTGGATGTATATGTAAAGTTCGTAAAAAATATCTTATTGACTCTTATATTATTCAGTATGTTAATTTAATATTTTTTGAAAAGCGAATAAAATCTAAATGCTGAGGGAAAACAGACTGGAATATATAAAATTTCAGTTTTTAAAAAATGTATAGAAGATCATTTATTAATATAAAAGTTTAAAGATGATCCATGTAGAAGGAAGCGAAGGAACATTTTGCAATCATAACTTTCTTTTCAATAGTGGGTAACGGTTTGGAAACGTACTGAATTATTAAGGGGAGGATTAGAACCTAAATGTAAGCTGTAGCATTCTAGCTCCCCAGCAATGCTAAATCCAGATTTGTCTGTCATCTCAAGGTGAGAGTGAGAAATGTGCTCACATGTGACCTTGATTCTGTGGAACCATCTGTAGGTTGAGGCGCAGGCTGGCAGGGTAGGAAGTGTTGGTGGGGGTCCAATAACATCAGTGTACTGCCATTTTTGTTTCACTCATGTCATAGCTAGCAACAGACACTTCTAGGATTGCCTGAGAAGAAGCTAAAGGCATTCAAATAAGTCGTGGCTGGTAATTTATTTTTTTGGGAATGTATATAGCCATTACATTTTTTTTGAGTTTATGTAGTTGTCACTGATACACAACTATTCCTGTGTATCCTTCTCTTTTGTTTTTTGTCTCTCGATGAATGCACAAATATAACCAACTTAAAAGTATAAATGCAGTCCCTTAATTATCAACATATGCTTTATGTTGTTGGGGTCTGGATTTTAAAGTTCCAGTATCTATTACCATCCTCATCTAAGTTTGCTTGGTATGAAGAATAACTATTTTACAAGCTGTAAAATTCTAACATTTGTCTCAATCCTGTATGGTTAGAGTAGTATATTCCACTCCTATTTTAAAGAAAAAATAATAAACTAATTAAGAGGAAGCTGTTGTGCAATAGGAGCTAACTGCACAACTAGAAATGCAACAAACAGCAGAGGATTGAAGAAACAGTTAAATGGAGACATCATTTCTAGGAAAGATGCATGTCAGTTGTTCATCCAGAAAACTAAATCATAAATTGAGAATAAGAAAAAACTTACATTTCGGAAGGACCTTAGGAAAAAAAGATTAGAAGAAAACATTTCATTAATTTTTTTCATAAGAATATTGTTATGAGATGAAAGAAATTGTGGAGGTCTGATCAATATGCCTGAGGGTATCTGCGATGGTCGAACAAGGGTCAGTAATTAGAAAGCATCTAGACCCCAGCTTTAAAAAACGTTCTTGCTTCATACGAAGTACCCAGCCTCAATTATACATCTGTAACAAAAGGCATACACCTGAGGCTTAGGGAACACTTCCAAAGAAGGGACAGAAAGATTATAAGGGCCAGAGGACCAGGATGTCTGATGAAAATTTGTGGTTTCAATATACAACAAAGGACTCTAACCATGAAATCTTAACAGTAAGCTCACCAAAACAAGACCTGAATGTCAATGTCAGTTGACATGCCAGTGTGTTTGGGGGAAGTCTCACAAGGCCCCACTCCAAGATGATGAATGGGACAATTAATGAGTCCTTAGAATGGGAAAATAAGTTGTCTCCAGGGTTGAGTCTCCCACATGGTTATCTAATACCAAGGAAGCATTCTGGAAAGCACATACCTGTGAGCAAAGATAAGTCAACTCAGCAGGCTGTATTTATACATTCATGTAGTGTTAATTAAAGAACAAGAAGTCAGGAATTTGAAAGGGGAGCATGATAGGTCTGTGGGGGGAGGAAATAATGCAAATCCAATGGGCAAATGCCAAAGGGGTTTAGTTTGATTTTGAAAGTGATAGAGACAACTGGACTCTTCTGGCATCACCATCAAGAAATGCAGTAGTTTGGTTAATTATGCTCTTAGGTAACATGAGAAAGGAAGTGGGTTTTAAAAAGTGTTACAGAGGAGTAAAACTCGCAGATTTGTGGTAGTATTTTGATGGCTGTAGTGGAGTGACAGATGCCCGAAGAATGCAAACTTTCAATGGGACCACTATATACATCTGGAGCCTGCATGGTTGAAGGAAAACTTGAGAATCAGAGTGGATCAGAACACAGGAAGACTACTTCCAGTATCCCCAAGTTTCCTTCTGTCCCCATTGCATTTTTGGTACCTTATCTTGGCAAAGATGTCCAAGACACTGTCAGATTTTTAAATGATTTATGAGGTAGAAATACCACAAAGGATACGCTGGTATATGTTCCTCCACATTGGGCTGTGCTTGAAGTGAAGACAGAGAGGCAGTGGACAGTGTACTGAAGATAAAATTTCAGAAGTCTTAAGTGTCACAGAACCGGCTGGATCCAAAGACCTGGGAGAAGGTGTGGGCATCATCACCCCATCACAGCGGGTTCATCCACGTCTTGCTTTGTCTTCTTTTATTGACATTTTCTTTTCACCTGTGATTGTTTCCTTTTGAAAAGGAATTCCTTTTGAAAAGGAAATATTTGACATCCAAAATTAGAGGGTTTTTTGTATCAAGAGAAATATAACCATGGTGAAATTTGTTAAAGTTTAGAAAGCTCTCTCACTTTGTTTTTCATGTTCCAGTGACATGACATTTTTTAGGTAAAAACCAGGGTGGTAGTCGATTTTGAGGATGTTACAGACATTTAAAAAAGATATCTGACCTACAAGTCTGGCAGCATATAAGTGAAGTCTTACAGAACCTGTGAGGGAGAGTCTAGGAAGACATCTAATAAACAAAAAGCTTAAGCACAGAAAATCACAGCCAGCACAAACAGGGATCCTTGTTATAAACTTCAGCAGAAATCTCATTTCCTGCAGAAGTCAGCAGATAGTATGCAAAACCAGAAGGGTTTTTTTTTTTTGCCTTAGTATCAATGACAAAGTTTATCTCAATGAAGTCACTAGGAATTTTCCATTGATAACACTTGTGCTGACTTTGCTCTTTGGACATCTGCAGAATCTCAAAGAACTAAAGATAACTGAATGAACAACCAACATTCTTGAAATTGACTTGATGCTTTGGCACAGAGGAGTGTGTGAATGTGTGAGTCAGTGTGTGTGTGTGTGTGTGTGTGTAAGCATGTATGTGACTGTATGTAGTGTACAACTATGTGTGTGCTATGATGTGTATGATTGTGTGTGTGTATCTTCATGGGTATAATAAGTGTCAGAGTGAGTTTTTTATGTGTTGTTATACGTGTGTGGGAATGTATATGACAGTGTCACAGCATGATTATGTACATGTTATGTTTCTGTGTCTGTGACTGTCTCTGCATGTATCTTCATGTGGGCCCGTGTGGCTAAATATGTGCTACTTTTAATGTGTGTGTGTGTGTGTGTGTGTGTGTGTGTGTGATTGAATGTATATGACTGTATTCAGAGTATGACTTTTTAGGTGTTGTGTTAATGTGTGTGGGTGTATGTGTCTTCATGTGTGTAACTGTGTGTCAGTGTGTGACTCTGTGTGTTTGGTTCTCATTATGTATCTCCTCATTTTACTATAGCAAAATCTTCTGGACCTTCCAGGTATTGTCTATTAGGATGATGATGATGATGATGATGATGATGTGTGTGGGGGGGGCAGGGGTAAATTGTGGAAAAGTGTATATATCCCAGATTTTGACAGGATTAAACAGTTATGTAGGTCCACCCTAACAATGTATTTTTTAGGATACATGAACTGTGTGATTACTGCTCTGTGAACATATTGGGATAGGAAAAACCTGTTATTATTTCCTTGTGTTTAGAAGGAGGATGTTTAAATCTAGCGTGTTTAGCTATATTTCCAGCTGCGCCTGAGAGCTGTACAACTGATGGGGTGGCTTCAATATTTTTTTTTGTTTGATTTTTCACAGGGACAGTCACATTGCTAGTGGCGTCCATCTATCAATATGATCAGTGTTTTCTTAGAAAATGCATCTGTATTTTAGAATCCTTACATTCTTACTAAGAAGTACTTGCAAGTTAGGTGAATATATATCAAATTTATGAACTACAGTTGAAAAGCCCATGCTTACTGTAAGCATTTCCATAAATCTGTTCAAAAATTAAGAAGTTCATAAATAACTAAAAAATTAGAAAAGGATTTTTAGACTGTAAATAGATTTTACTGATATTAGATATCTGTATAGCATTTTGAAGAGATTTTTTTTTCATTTTAAGCTTTACAAAATTTTCAACAACATATTTCGCACATTTTAAGCTGTTTTTCATGCTAAAATCCATAGCTTCAGAACATCTAAGTTTTATTTACTAATACAAGCAATGAATAAATTCCTCATACTAACAGGCGTTGCACCTATGCTAAAAAAGCTTTTCATTACGGTCACTATATCCTGGGGATGTGTTGAAGGGTCACATTTGTCTCTGTATTCTTGGGTTTTACCCTACTGAATCACATAGGAAATTAGGGCAGAGTTGATTTCCTGTAGTCACTAAACAATAAAAATCCAGAGCCAGCAGACGGTGTTGGCTTGCTATTTTCAGAGTGTGCTACTCAGATGAGTAATCAGCTTGGTACCACACCCAGGTTGTGGTGTCCACACTAGGAGTCTATTGTTTGACAGAACATTGATTCTCAGAGTAGGACATCCTAACTATCAAGAGCACTGGAACATATGCTTCAGAATTATACCTCATTTGCTAAAGAATTATGTTTCTTTATACTCAGCTTGAAATCACAGGCATGTACTTATATGGAAATATGAATTTAAGATTATTTTTAAGCTATAAACAATCTCCAGTTCTAAGCATCATTGTTCTCTGAGGGGAAAAACAGCTACCAGTTGCAGCATTTAAAAATGCCTGAAATATGAGATTTCAAGATCTCAGCATACTTCCCTGCAAAGTTCTAGAAATATAAGACATGACAGAATTAGAAAGGAAAAATTTGTAGATGGCACACTGTTGGGAGTTTTTATTCTGTTGTCCATTCCTTTGCCTGGACACCCCCAAAAGAATGTTCTGCAGAGCCTCTGAAGGGAAATCAGGTGAGGGAGCAGTGAGTTCAGAGGTTCCAAAGTGAGAGGCAGCTCTCATTAGAGCATTAGAAGTCAAGGCATGAGTGCTCTGGGTGGCAAAGGGGACACACTGAGCATCCACAGGACACACTTCCTCAGGGAACGGGTGGCTTCAGCACTCAGCTTAGAATAGATTTAACAAGAAGAAAATTTCAAAAATGGGATTCAGGAAAAGAAAATATAGAGACAAGCGTGAATGAGAGAAGTTTTGTTTTGCACGGTACATGTGAAATGTATTAAAGCACAGCTGTGAATGTTTCTTGAAATTATTGAAGATATTACCCAAAGGTTAAAGACAAAGGAAAACTGCGGGCAATCAATGGCTTCTCGACAAGGGTGGTTGTTTCTCCTAGGGCAGAGCCAAGGCTAAGCTGCACCCACCTCAGTAGACAGTCTCTCTCCCTCAACTGGCAGAGACTTAATTAAACTCAGTGGGCCACACCCACTACTGAAAAGAAAGGTCTCAGGGGAGGGAAAAGAGGATGAGATGGGAATGGTGGGTGAAAACGAGTAAACGCTTTCATCTAGATGTATAAAACTGTAAAACATTTTTTAAAAGACCGAAATGGCATTAAATTAATGCTCATGAAGATGAAGTTGTATTTCATGAAACTGTGTCCCATGGCATGGTGACCCTTTGGTCTTCACCAATCTCTCCATTATCATTACAACTTTCTATTGTGCAAATGGACTACACAATTTTTAAAGGAATTTTCCTCACTAGCAGTTAGCATTTCCAGTCTGGTGCATTGCTTCTCTGGCTACTTAAAAAAAAAAAAAGCAAACAAAAAAAGAAAAAAACAAAACACCTAGCTATAGTCATTTTTCCCTCTCTTTTGTGTCTTGTTTTACTAGCTAGTTTCAATGCTGGCTACACAGAGAACTGGATTCACTCCAAATTACCTTCATCAATTTTCCCAAGAGATTTGCTGGCCATTTTTCTGAAAAGGATTTTCTGTAGCCTCATCTTTGTAACCTTGAGTTTGCTAATGAACACTATGTGCCTTTCCTCTCCCATGTTACAAAATTAGAGCTCTTTGGTACAGTGAGTGATGGAAATTTCCTGATGCCCAAGGCAAAAACAAACAAGGGATGTGTTGTAAATTCTGAGGCCATGATGGTGGTTTTGACTACAGCTAGCATAGGAGTTTGAGTCAGCCAGTCTTAGGGCCATGGAGTCATAACAGGAAGAAATGAAATGCTTTCAAGCTGATTAAACTGGGCTCCAGTGTCCTAAGTACAGCTTATTTCTCCCTTGGTAACCAAAAGTGTTAGGAATTTACATGTGAATTTCAATGTATCTCACTTTCTGCATTTGACAAGTTCTATGTCTGAAATGCTCACAAGTTAGTAGATTTTGTTTCTTCATTGAACTTCACAAATAATTATTTTTCTTTACAATTTTGACATGTATGAGCATTTGAGATTCTTCTAAATTTTTCCCTATGATTTTCTAGCATGCCAAATGCAAATAAGCTGCTCTGAAATAGTGGGGTTGATACTTTAACTTGTTAAGTTATAATATATATGTTTATACATTTCAAAACACATCAATTTTAGCACAAAATTTTAAATAATTTATACATTGCAAAAAACCTATTTTTGTGCTCATTGCTTTATGGCAAAGACACAAAGTAGACCAACTGATCAGATGTTACTGTCACACTGCATACAATGACTTACTCAGACTGTTAATGTCTGTGCATATCACTTGTGCTAAAGAAGAATAAATAAAGACATACTTAAGTTTTAATCTGAACTCCTCTAGTCTTACATTTTAAAATAATGCTTAATTGTAACATCAAAAGAAGACACCTATATGCTTATTTCTGAGTCCTTGTTGGAACTCAAGGAGAGAGCCATTAAGGAGTTGATTTATGAGACAAAGAATCAGTTGGCACTAATTTCCAAATATTCAACATTATTTCTTGTTGGTATCTTTAAAGATATTTGACACCTCAAGACCTAGATTAGCATCTGAAACAAAGTTCTAATGTTACACTGAGTGTCTGGCTACTTACTGAATGTAAAATTAGAATCAAATAACTTGAATTTTAACTGGGAATTGCATATATCCAAATCATGGCCTAAAATGAATTACATGCTATCAGTAGTCTTATCAGCATTTACAGCACTTGGAAGAGCATGTAATCAAAACAGCCTTTAAATCACTCCTTTTTATCTTAAAAGACCCCAGAAGAAAAGTTTGTAACTGCAAAATCAAGGAGCACTGAGTCTACCTTTTATCCAGTCGCATTCTTTCTATACTACCTCAGAAATTAAAACCTATTTTATAGCAAAAGTGAAGCTAAGTAGTATTGTACTGCAACATTAACAAATACTCAGATCATTTGAATGCAGATAGATGACTATTTTACTTTGCTTTTTCAATGATGACTTTTTTTTTATAAATAGCCACTGAAAGAGATTGAATATAGTGAAGGTTAGGAAAGGGGACATTGTTTAATCTTTAGTTTATGAATTGCTAATCCATTCTATAGAGGAATCAGCATAATTTTTATCAGAAGTTTTAAGGGAATTAAATCACAAAGGGCAAGGTTTTCATTATCTTCAATATTCAAACTGAAAAATATGATTTATAAATTTTATGGCAGTAATTTGACCATACTTTAAAAAATAGTCTTTCTGAAAGGTGAGTCACTTGACTGATAAAAACTTGAGCTTTTCTATATGGAATATGCTTTAAATTAGGGCTTAGATTTATCTACTGCATGACTTTCATATAGAAATGCAAATTTGTAGATTCTTAAATTGTGTTGAATTAATATGTCTGAAGATATTTTTTCCCTCTGAGTATATTTAAATATATCAATTCATGTAACTGTCCATCTTGTTTTCATTTGAATGGTAAAATGAAGAAACAATATTTAGTGAGTCAGCAAATCTTCAAAATAATCAATTCTTGGGTAGAATTCTGGCATACTATTAATAAGGTAACTGTTTATAGATCAGACAAAATAACATTGGCTGTACTTAAATGTTATCTTTATTTTTGGAGGCACAGAGTCTAAAACAGCCAATGGAGATATTCACAGATTCTCCCCACAAATACCCAAATGTCATTAAGAGGAATGTATTCAAGCCCATTCCATAAAAATATTCTTTCCTTTATCATATGCAGAAAATGGAACTTTTATTACAAAGTTCTTAAAGTAAGGTAATGGTTTAATTTGCAAATTGGTAATTATATATTTGTAATTAATAGTCATTGGTACAGATCCTAGAGACACAACCCTGAAGATTTCTCTGTATTTGCCTAGCGTTTTAGGAGTAACCAGTGTTAAATATACCATGCTGCTGGTGTCTTGTCTAATCCCCAGTCAGTTGTTTTTATCAGAAACCCTTCAGTTCAGTGAACTATACAATTTCTTTGGAAATTGTAGTTTGTTTGTGGTATCTTAACTGTTGCTGAAGTTATCCGGAATCTATTTCTGTTTGCCACCAAATAACCATAATCAGTGTTATGATTTGGCTCTGACAGTTCCTTCAAATGACCTGAAAGACTTAGTTATCAGCTGGCTGGTGGTTTGACCTTGAGGGGCTGACATTAGTGGGTTCATACTGAATGGGATATTAGGAGGTAGGAGATGGGCATGTTTGGAAGGAGTAGGGCCATGGAAAGAGTGTTGTGCCTTTGAAAGATTTACTTTGCTGTTGGTTTTCTCTTATCTCTCTTTTATTCCTGGTTACCACAGACAGAGCATCTTTCTTCCACCACATCCCCCTTATTGGTGTTTCTTCATTTCCAAACGTACTGAACCCAGTAACCCATAGACTGAATTCTCTGAACAGTGAAACAAAATGACTCAACTGTTCTTTTAGTTATATTTAAATGTCCCTTTCTCCCTAAGACAACCAGAAGTTTACCAACAGAGTCCGTCATAACACAGTCATCTAAATTCTTAGAACCTTGGAAATGTGGATATTTAGAATCAGTTATTGGCTTGAGAGAACCAAAAGATTGTGGTTTTATTGCCTCACTTCTTTGTCGACTTAAAGGCACATGCTTGAAGAGGATAACTTGTTAATTTCTATTAGTATTTCTGTTTCTCCTGTTACTAGAAGAAATATTCAAAATAAGTTCATTGAGAAATTAAGTTGCTTTCTGCAGACGAAGCAACCACGAGTCTGTTGATAGCACTGGGCTAATACCAACCCCACTCAGGGGAGAGGTGAGCTTCGGCCCTGTCTCAGGCCCAACTTCTACTTTCCCTCTCTGGGATCTCCTGGCCTGGGGACTGCAGACAGGTGGACTCACCCCCTGGGGGACCAAGCAATGTGAGTCTGATGATGTCACTCTGATAGTCCTGCTTCTATCCACCGGAGAGGGATTGCTTCAGACCTGCCTGCACCAACTGTGAGACCCATCAGAGTATTGGACCTGTTTTCACTCACCAGAAGAGAACCCTGGACTGTATCCACCAGGACAGGAAGAGATCCCAACTGCAACCCTGTAAGAAGGAATGGGAAGACAACAATATAAGAACACATTCAACAACAGAAAAACCAATATGATGCCACCAGGGTCTAGGGACTGTACACCAGCAAGAAATAAACTCTCAACACAGATGAAGCAGAAGAGAATGACCTTAAAACAACTTCATGCAGATTATAGAGACCCTAAAAGAGGAAATGAGAAAATCCTTTAAAGAAATGGAAGAAACCAAAAATTGCAAGAAACAATTCAAACAGTGCAAGGTTTGAAAGCTGAAATAGGGAGAATTAACAAAATAACACTGAGGGAATTCTGGAATTAGAAAAGATGGGTAAATGATCAGGAACTACAAGCATAAACATAACCAACAGAATACAAGAGACAGAAGAGAGAATCTCAGCCATTGAAGATACACTAGGAGAAATAGATTCATAGATCAAAGAAAATCTTAAGTCCAACAAATCCCTAACACAAAAATCCAAGAAATATGGGACACTGTTAAAAGGCCAAACTCAAGAATAATAGGTATAGGAAAAGGTGAAGAAACCCAACTCAAAGGTGCAGAAAACATATTCAGCAAAATCACAGCAGAAAACTTTCCCAGACTAAAGAAAGATATGCCAATGAAAGCATAGGAAGCCTACAAAACAACAAATAGAGTGGACCACAAAACTTTCCCTCATCACATAATAATCAAAACACAAAACTTACAGAATAAAGAAAGAATATTAAGAGTGGCAAAGGAAAAAAAGCCAATGGAATTCTCTGTGGAAATTCTGCAAATCAGAAGGTCCTGGATATTCTACAAACACTAAGAAACCATAGATACCAGCCCAGACTACTATACTCAGCAATGTTTTCAATCACTATAGATGGAGAAAAAAAGATATTCCATGACAAAACCAGATTTAAACAATACATATACACTAATCCAATCCTACAGAAAATACTGGAAGGAAAACTCCAACCTAAAGAAATTAACTACATTCATTAAAACATAGGCAATAGATAATCTCATTTTACTAAAAGCCAAAAGAAACAGCAGAGAAAATTCACACACAATATCATCCCTGACTACTAATTCAAAACACACAAGAATTAATGCTCAATGGTCCTTGACTTCCCTCAGTATCATTGTTCTTAACTCGCCTATAAAAAGACACGTGCTGACAGAATGGATACAAAGACAGAATTCAAACTTCTGCTTCATACGAGAAACACACCTTAACTTCAAAGACAGGTGTTAGATCAGATTGGGATAAGATTTTCCAATCAATTGGAACATGCAGGGAGGGGAGAGGGAACCTGGAAAAGGAGAGAGGGAGAAGAGGAGAGGACAGGAAGACATGGGGGAACAGGAAGGTTGAGTTAGGAGAAGAATAGAGGAGAGCAGGATGAGAGATACCATAATAGATGGAGTCATTATAGGTTTGAGGAGAGAGATGACACTAGTGAGATTTCCAGATATCAATTGTCAAACTAAGCAATATTGGAGAGACTACCTTAATAGACCCTCCCTGATAATGAGATTGAAGACTGCCTTACATGCCATCCTAGAACCTTCATCCAGTGATTGATGGAAGTAGAGGCAGATACCCACAGCTAAACACTGAACTGAACTCCTGCAACCCAGTGACAGAAAAGGAGGAGTGATGAGCAAAAGGGTCAAGACTGTGCTAGTGAAACCCACAAATACAGCTGACCTGACAAAAGGGAGCTCTTGAAACACAGACTGATGGCTGAGAGGCCAACAGGGGACTGATCCAGACTCCCTGAATGTAGTGTCAGGGAAGAGGCCCAATCTCTTGGGCCTTGGGTAGTAGATCAGTGTTTACCGTGGAATACTAATGAACTTTGGGAGCCCATTCCACATGGAGAGATGCTGTCGCAGCCTGGACACATGGGTAAGGGCCTAGATCCTGCCCTGGATGAAATTACAGACTCTGGAGATCCTGCAAGGAGGGCCTCACCCTCCCTGGGAATGGTGAGGGTATTGGGTGGGGGGCTGGGGGTTGGTGGAGGGGCAAGGGAGGAGGTGTGGGAGAGAAAGCTGGGATTGATATGTGAAGCAAGCATGTTTCTAATTTAAATAAAAATATATTGGAAAAAACAGAAATAATTGAACAATTCCAAAATTAAATTTTTTTTCCAATCAAACGGACTCAAGAAACAAGCTGGTGAATTTCAAGATTCCATTTTTTTCTGCTGAGTAGTATTCCATTGTGTAAATGTACTACATTTTCTCTATCCAGTCTTCAGTTGAGGGTCATCTAGGATCTTTCCAGGTTCTGGCAATTACAAATAATGCTGCTATGAACATAGTTGAGCAGATGTCCTTATTGTATGAGGGTACATCTTTTGGGTGTATGCCTAAGAGTGGAATTGCTGGATCTCGTGGTATTGATTTCCATTTTTCTGAGGAATCTCCATACTGATCTCCAAAATGGCTGCACTCGTTGGCATTCCCACCAGCAGTGGAGGAGTGTATCCCTTTCTCCACATCCTCTCCAGCATAAACTGTCATTAGTGTTTTTGATTTTATCCATTCTGAAGGGAGTGTGATGGTATCTCAGAGTTGTTTTGATTTGCATTTCCCTAATGGCTAAAGATGTTGAGCATCTTCTCAAGTGTCTCTTGGCCATTTTGGACTCCTCTATTGAGAATTCTCTATTTAGTTCTGTACACCATTTTTTAGTTGGATCCTTTGGTGTTCTGGAGTCTTGCTTCTTGAATTCTTTGTAAATTTTGGAGATCAGCTCTCTGTCAGATGTGGGGTTTGTGCATATCTTTTGCCATTCTGTGGACTGTTGTTTTGTCTTGTTGACTGTGTCCTTTGCTCCTCAGAAGCTCCTCAGTTTCAGGAGATCCCATGTATTAATTGTTGATCTCAGTGTCTGTGCTACTGGTGTTATGTCATCCTGAGTGAGGTAACCCAGTCACAAAAAGACAAGCATGGTATGTACTCACTCATATATGGATTTTAGACATGGAGCAGGGCATTGCCAGACCACAACCCCACCGCCAGAGAGTCTGGGTTGCAGGGAGGACCCTAAGAGAGATATGCATGGTAACCCAGAGAAGAGTTAGGGGATGTGATCTCCTAATTGGATTGGGAGTGGGAGAAGGGGAGGGTAGAAGGAAATAGAAGAAAGAGAGAGAGAAAAGAGGAGGGGAGAGGAGGACATGCTAGAGCAGGAAGGTTGAGCCAGGGTAAGAATAGAGGAGAAAAAGATGGGTTATACCAGAAAAGAGAGAGCCAGTATAAGTTGGAGGAGAGACTGGCACTAGTGAGATCTTCACAGATCTACAAGAATGACACCAACTGGCATTAAGGATACCTACCTTAAATGCCCTCCCATGATAATGAGAATGATGACTACCTTATATGCCATCCTAGAACTCTCATCCAATGGTTGATGGAGGCAGAGGCAGACACCCACAGCTGTGAACAGAATTGGACTACTAGAACCCAGTTGTAAAGAAGAGTGATGACAAAAGGAATCAAGATCGGGCTGCCAAACCCACAGAGGCAGCTAATCTAAATAAGGCGGAATGCATGGACCCAGACTGAAGACTGAGGGCCAACATGGGACTGATCCAGAAACCCTCCCACCAAACCTGGGTGTCAGAGAGGAGGCCTTGGCAATCTGTGGGACCTGGGAGAGTGGAGCAGTATTTATTCCTGGCATACTGAGGGACTTTGGGAACCCATACAACGTGGAGGGATACTATCTCAGCCTGGAAACATGAGGAAGAACCTGGGACCTTCTCAGGATGATGTGATAGACACTGAAAATCCCTCATGGAGGCCCTTGCCCTCCCAGGGGAGTGGAGGGGGGTGAAGTGGGTGTGATGGGTTGGGAGGATTTGGGGGTGGGGGAGGAGAGGAGGGAGAGGGAACTGAAAGTGACATGTGTAAAAAAGTTAAATAAAAAATATATGAAAAAAGTAACAAGCCGGTGTAGCTATCTTAATATCTAACATATTAGACTTCAAACAAAAATCAATCAAAAGAGATGAAGGAAGTTCATTTCATATTCACCACAGGAAAAATCCATCAGGATGAGGTCTCAATTCTGAACATCTATGCCCCAAATACAAAGGCACCCAAGTTCGTAAAAGAAACATTACCAAAACTCAAATCACACATAAGACCCAGTTATAGTGGGAGGCTTCAACACCCCACTCTCACCACGAGACAGGACCATTAGACAGAAACGTAAAGAAACAAAGGAACTAACAGAAGTTTTGACACAATTGGGTATAACAGACATCTATAGAACATCCCATCAAACACAAAAGAATATACCTTCTTCTCAGCACCACATGGGACCTTCACTAAAATTGGCCACATACTTGACAACATAGCAAACCTCAACAGGTACAAAAAATTGGAATAACTCCATGTATCTTATCAGACCACCATGCTATAAAGTTGGAATTCAACAACAACACCAATTGCAGAAAGCCTACAAACTCATTGAAATTGAAGAACACACAATTACACCATTCCTGGATCAAGGAAGAAATAAACAAAGAAATTAAAGACTTTATAGATTTCAGTGAAAATGAAGACACAACATACCCAAACTTATGGGACACTTTAAAAGCAGTGCTAAGAGGAAAATTCATAGTACTAGGTGCTCACATGAAGGAACTGGAGGAAAGTCACACTAGAGAATTAACAACATAACTGAAAACTCTAGAACAAAAAGAAGCATTCTTACCCCGGAGGAGTAGATGCCAGAATATATTCAAACTGAGGGCTGAAATCAATAAAGTAGAAACAAAGAAAACAATACAAAGGATCAACGTAACAATGAGTTGGTTCTTTGAGAAAAATCAATAAGATAGACAAACCTTTATCCAAACTAACCAAAAGACAGGGAGAGAATATGCAAATTAACAAAATCAGAAATGAAAAGGAAGACATATCAACAGATACTGAGGAAATCCAGAGAATCTTCAGGTCATACATTAAAAAAACTATACTCAATTAAAAAGTGGGGTACAGAATTGAACAGAGAATTCTCAATAGAGGTTTCTTAAATAACTAATTGACACTTAAGAACGTTCTCACTATGCTTAGTCATCAGGAAAATTCAAATCAAAACAACTCTGAGATACCATCTTACTCCTGTCAGAATGGCTAAAATAAAAACACCAATCAAAGTTTGTGCTGAAGAGGATGTGGAGAAAGGGGAACATTCCTCCACTGCTGGTGGGAATGCCAGTTCATACAGCCGCTTTGGAAATCAGTATGGAGATTCCTCAGGAAAAGTGGAATCAGTCCAGCAATTCCAGTCTTAGACATATACCCATAAGATGCACATTTATACAACAAGTATATCTTTTCAACCCTGTTCATAACAGCATTATTTGTAATAGCCAGAACCTGGAAGTAACCTAGATGTTCCTCAGATGAAGAATGGATAGTGAAGATGTGGTACATTTACACAGTGGAGTACTATTCAGTGGAAAAAAATGGAATATTGAAATTCGCATGCAAATGATGGAACTAGAAGAAACCATTGTGAGTGAGGTAACCCAGTTTCAAAAAGACAATCATGGTATATACTCACTCATATATGGATGTTAAACACAGAGTAAAGGATTATCAGCCTACTATCCAAACTGCCAGAGAAGCTAGGAAACAAGGCTGACCCTAAGAGAGACATACATGGTACCCTGGAGAAGAGGAAAGGGAGAAAAACTGCTGAACAAATTGGGAGCATGAGGAGATGGGAGAGGGAACTAGGAGAAAGAGAAAAAATGGAGGAAAAGTGTAGGCTAAATGGACGCTGTAACGATACGCGACACACAATTACTGACAGTAAAGCTAAGTATTTAATGTAGAAAATTACTCACAAGATACCAAACCCAGAGGAGCCAAACAGTTCTCAGCTAGCGGCCGGACCGGAAGCCGAACTCCAGGAAAAGAGACCGAGACTTCCTGTGTGTTGTCTTTTATGCCTTCCCCCGTAACGCCCCTAGCCATGCCCAAAAGTGGGCCTGGCTAGTGACGTAGTTCCGCCTACGTACGTATACATCTTTAAGTCCAGCCGTATACGTCTTTAGTCCTGCCTAAAGTGGGTGTGGTTAGCGGTGTGGTAAACCGCCCTTTTATTACCTCATCTGTATGCGCCTCTAATAAGTCACATGTTTAATGGCGGCATCAGACTTCCTCCTACAGAAAAGGAGGAGAGAAGAGGACATGGGGAAGCAGGAAGGCTGAGTTGGGGGAAGAATACAGGAGAGCAAGGTAAGACATATCATAATAGAGGGAGCCATTATGAGTTTGAAGAGAAGTCTGACACTAGGGAATTTTCCAGAGATCTAAAATGATGACATCAACTAACAATCTAAGCAATAGTGGAGAGGCTACCCTAAATGCCCTTCCCTGGTAATGAGATTGATGACTACCTTATATGCCATCCTAGAACCTTCACCCAGTAGCTCATGGAAGCAGAAGCAGACACCCACAACTAAACACTTAACCGAACTCCTAGAAATCCAGTTGCATAGAGGGAGGAGTGATGAGTACAGGAGTCAAGACCAGGCTGGTGAAACCCACAGAAACAGCTGACCTGAATAAGGGGGAGACATGGACCCCAGACTGATACCTCAGAAATCAGTAAAGGACTGATCCAGTCTCCTTGAACATGGGTGTCAGTGAGGAGGCCTCGGCAATCTATGGCTCTTCTGGTAGTAGACCAGTGTTTATCCCTAGCATACAAATGGATTTTGGGAGCCCATTACACATAGGGGGATACTCTCTCAGCCTAGACACAAGGGGGAGGGCCTAGGCCAACCTCCAAATGATATGACAGACTTTGAAGATCACCCATGGAAGGTCTCATCTTCCTTGGGAAGCAGAAAGGGGACGGGATAGGGGGTTAGTCGGGGCCACGGGAGGAGGGGAGGGAGAGGGAACTGAGGTTGACATGTGAAACAAGCTTGCTTCTAATTAAAAGTAAACAAAAAAGGACAAAATAAGTTCATTGAAACAGTACTGAATAATATATGTAATTGATAAGAGAAAATTTGAAAATTGGTCTGAAGATTCTAATTTTTAAAAAATTTTAAAGTTTTACTTATTTTTACATTTCTTGGATTGCTGTTGAGAACATTTAGAAACTGCATGTTTGATAAGACACTAGGAAATGATCATCATGTAGATGAAGCCCACAGAAACAAACCCTGTCTTTCCTCTGTTTATAGTGCTATCATTTCAATGATCATCATATAGATGGAGCCCACAGAAACAAACCCTGTCTTTCCTCTGTTTATAGTGCTATCATCATTTCACAGCCCTCAGGTACACTGGTGTGTATGTAGCCTTTCCTAGTTTGCTTTTGGTTGCTGTGATATAGACCCTTACTAAAGGATCTTGGTGAGAAACGGGTTTCTATGCATTACATATTGGTTACAGTCCATCGAGAGACTTTCAGAAAGGAACAGAAACAGAGGCCATGAAGGACCACACTTACTTACTTGCTCTCCATGGTTTGCTTAGAACATTTTCTTACACAACTCATAACCAACTGTCAGTGGTAGCCAAAACTCAAGTCATCAATCATTAATCAAGAAAATGCCCAGTAGAATTGACTACAGACCAGCCTGATGGAGGCATTTTCCAAGTTAAGGTTTCATCTTCCCTGATGATCCTAGCTTTCATCAAGTTGTCAGAAAAGCTAAATAGCACAGAGAGTTTCTTAAGATATATGATCAAGGATGAAAAACAGAAATTCAAGTATATAAGCAAGAGCAGTTTCACAGAAACCCTTATAAAAATGTTCCAAATCCCAGTTAGTGGTCATCAACATGGACCTTATAATTTTCCCAGAAGCAGCCTTACATTTTTAAAAATTTAAGCAAATGTATTTTTATTGATACATAAAATATAAACATGCATATTAATAGATAACATGATGTTTTATTAACTGTACACATTGTCCAATGTTTAAGTTAGGTTGAACATATCTCCCGAACATAAGCAAATCATTTATGTTTCAAATCTTCAAAATGTTTTTTTGGGTATTCAGTGCACTATGGCTTTCTCTAGTTTTTCTATTCTGCTATAATGCAGCCTGAGTTCTTTCTTATCTAACTGTGACTAAGAACTCAATAATCCACCTGTTTTAACAACAAAAAACAAGACATTTCTATTAGAAAGAAGTTGCATGTTTTCACCTGTTTCTGTTTTGCCCGAAGAGCCCTATGAGCATACTTTGATTAGATATCATGCTTTGAAAAGAACATAATCAGAAATTTACTGACAAAGACATTTAGGGCATAGGAATTGGACCTCCTAGCATAGGTCTGGAACTTGATAATTTGTTTGTGTTTCAAGTGATTATGAATTAGCACTATAGAGCCTAAACCTTACTAAAGTTTAAATGTTCACAACCAAGGGAACAGGCAAGGACATTGTTTGCTATTGTATTCTTTATTCAAACATAAAAATTGTTAAATGTGAACATTGTAAATATAAAAAGAAGGCAATGAAAACACGGGAGGAAAAGCAGAGGTTATTTTTTCCTTTGAATCAAAATTCATCTAATATTTCTGTTCCTTAAACTTTAGCTTTTCTGGGACTAGAATCCAACTTCAATCCACTTTGTCCTCCTTTCATTTCTGTTGTTTTAATAAAATACTATGACAATAAACAGTTTAAGAGAAGAAAGGTTTGTCTTAGCTTAGAATCCCAGGTTACAGTATGCCATTGCAGGAAAGTCAAGAATTTGGAGAAGCCAGTCACATGTCTACAGCGAAGAAAAGACCTGCATGCATGCTGAGTATGCAGTCCGAGTTTTCCAGTGTCATACAGTAGTCTAGATACAGAAAAGGATGTTTTACAGCTTTAGGCTAGTTCTTCATAGAACAATAAAACAATCAAGGCATTTCTTCACAGACATGACTGCAGACCAACCTGATCCAGATGGTCTCTCACTGATTCTTTCTCTGGGTGACTCTAGTTGTGTCAATGTGACAAAATGAGCCCTTACTCAGCTGGAGAGATGGCTCAGTGCTTAAGGGCATGGATTCTTTTCCAAAAGACCTGGGATAGACTATCAGTGACCCATATGACTTCACCCAACTGTCTGTAACTTCAGTTCTAAGGGTTGAACATCCTCTTTCTGTCTTGCATGTGCTGTAGTCATGCGAATGTTTCAGAGACATACAAGAAGACAAAATATCCATAAATTCAAAATAAAATGAGTAAAAAATTAAAAGGAATCACTCTAGCATCCTATCATAAATCCTTAGACTGTCTGATGTTACCTGAATTAATTAGAAGAAATAGAAGAATGTTCTCACTAGGATAGTCTCTTAATTTTCCATTACTCTATATGTGGATTTGTTTTTATTGCTAGCTGAATATTCATCATTCCTCGTATTAGCTTCCACTTGGGACCCTAAAGTTCTCCTTGTTGAGAAATCAGATATGCCATTAGTTACAGTGAGGTTATGTTGGGCTGTACCCAATATGACGGGTGATAATATGAAAAGGAAGGTTTCTTTTACAATTAAACAGACTCTGGAAAAAAAGATAGTGCATCTATAATCAAGAACTTATAAATGTCTCCAGCATAATCAGGAGTTAAGTATAAGCTTGCATGCACACAAGTTTCCTCTAGTAGCTTCAGATACAATAAAATTGTCATTTTTGACATTAACTTGGTAGAATTGTAAAAGGAGACATTTCTGCTCTTACAAACACCCACTTTAGAGTATGTGTTATAGTGACATTAAAAAAGCCCTCAAACATATGTCCCTTGCAAGCCAGACCTCTGCTGTCGCTCCATCCAGGGCTTAGCTGCATCACAGAAACATCTCCTTTCATAGGAACAGAAGGAAGCGTAGGTACAAATACTTTGCTTGCAGGACTGTGTTGATCTCAGAAACAACTACGCTTATAGCTATGGGGTAGTTGAGAGGACAGACGAGAGGCTGTTCGCCTTACTGAATGTCACAGGCATGGGCATGAAATTAGGTCTAATGTAAGTACCGTTACAATATGTATTAAATGATTCAGTGGCTTATTTGGCTGCCAATGATAACTTGACAGATCGAAACTTCACCTTAGACATATGTTCTTCTGAACAGACTCTGAGCCCACGTTCCATTGGAATCACACAGTCTGGGTACAGAATCAGGACTAGTGGGACCAGTGAATGATAAAATGGAAGATGAATGAAATATGAAGACTTTAAGCTTTAGAATAGGAAAAGCCAATGGCAAGGACGTTGCTGGAGTGAACAACATTCAAAGGAGAACAGAGGCTGCGTTTTGCACTGCATAATATAGCCTGTAATAATTATGAATGTTTCATTATTACTTTTCTCCTGCTATAATTAACGTTATTAATTTATGAATCACTGCAAACTTTGAAAACAGATGGTATTTGTGATGCTTAATTAAACCAAGAAAAGTGCTACTAGAGTAAATAAGTAACATTTCCAAGTTCATTTTATGAAAACCTAAGCTGTTTTGTGTTATTAAAATCCATAATAGTAGGCCGGTTTTTTAATAGATAAATTTGGTATTTACTTACTTCCAACATTGTTATAGCTTCACAATTCAAACTGCTAGGAGTCAGTAAACAAAAGTAAGCATTTGGCTCATTGTTACACATTTATCTTAAGTTTTAAAGAAATTGGAGCACACCAAATATTGGTTAACTGTTTTAGAAGGAAAACAGAAAATTGAGATTTAAGAATTATTCAAGGTTTTTTCCTTCCTATGCCAATGGTGTTTTTAGAAATCACATTTCAAGAACAACTATATTACAAGTTTATTTATAATTTAAGAACTCTTCCCCCAAAGATACAATTATATTGTAGCAAATTACTTAATATAAATATATTTCATATCTAATGAGCATTTCCTGTTTGCAGGGCTCTATTGCAAGCTTTGCTCATCTATGTGAATTCATTTGTGGGCACAGTTCAATGAAAGAACTATTGGTACCATTCTCATTTAACCAGGGGGAACTGAAAGAGGAAGAGCTAGGATAACGGACAAGGTTACAGAAAACTGAAGCGATGTTGTTTAATGTCTTTAATATCAACTAGTTAAAACAGTGTGGAAAAAAGTTATAATGCAATATGACACTCAAAAATGCTTTCTAACTTCTCACTAGAATGCATTGATGTGTTCTGTACATGAAAATACAGCTGCATCAGATGCACATCTTAGTTAAAATACTTGAGGTCTCAGTATGTTCTAGGTGTAAGGCCAGGGAATAAGATAGTTGTA